AATTAGTTTAAGAGTTGGTAATCATCAAAGGTTTGGCCTTAGACTAAGCCTAGTTAAGGATATTGTTGAGTATTGAATGTTGAATATTAAACAATTGAAAATATCATGAATGAATTATATATTGTGTGCATGATATCAAATGGTTGTTTGTGAATTGAGATTCAATTTATGTGGATGTTCGACGCTTTAGATATGCTTACTCAGCTTCATCGCTGAGCGTGTAGTATGTTTTATTTGCTACACGCAGGTAGACTGAATGAATGATTGGCTTGTTCCTGGCAGCACAAGGGGCGAGATTGTCGTGGTGAAATTTGTGATTTTAAATAAATAATTATGTTGTTATTAAACATGGTTTAAATTGCTTCCGCATTATTGTTAAACACTCTGCATTTTGCTACAATTATGTACTAAATAATATTTATGATGAATAAAAGTATTTGAAACGTTTTAAATTTATGATTTCCAAAGTTAATACTTTAGTCTGAAAGGGGCTGCAGACCTGGACGGAGTAGGGTGTTACAATTTGGTATCAGAGCAAATGGTTTTAAAACTGATCTTCGGATCAAAAGTTTGTTTAAAAATAATAATAATAATAATAATAATAATAATAATAATAATAATAATAATAATAATAATAATGTCAATTAAATCCACGACTCTCGCATCCCTCTGCTCTAGGAAGTTAAAAAAAATGAGTGTTGAAATTGACTATATCAAATTTTATAGATGTCCACTGTCAATTCGGAAATGATATCAAGTGTTGATTCAAGTCGCACTTTCGTACTTGGTAAAAGACGAAAGAACAAACGAAATGTCTATGACTCGTTGATACGTTACCAACGTGCACATCGCTTCGCGAGAATAATGAAACGAAGGATTTATTTGCACCGTAAGACCGCATGGGAACGAGACGACCCAGAAGAGACGTTCAGCGTAGACTCTGCCAATAGCGTATGTGGATCAGGCATAGAAGAACCAGCTGTAAATTCGTCATGATCCAACCAATTGAACGGAAACGTTTAGAAACTATCTTGTTAATCGTTTCAAATCCATTGATTGTATCGACTATTGTAATCCTTTGCAATTCCTATCTTAAACTCAACTTTTGAATAAAAGAATCCTAATAAAGGAATTTCTGTTATTGTAGAATGAGTCAAGAATCTGCCCATGGACAAGGCAACAACAATGAACACGTCAGTGTTCATACTGAAGCATCTAGTTTCACCCCTCCCATCCAAAATGAACCTGTCAATGAACAAAATGTTGGGAATAACCTGAACGCTGGTGGTCAACCCGACCCGGTGATCCCAACTTTTCTGGCCAATGTGTTACAACAAATAGCCAACGCGCCGATGTTTCAACCACCTCCACCACCGCCACCTCGAGTGATAACCTACAAAACGCTAAGGGATAACGGTGCAAAATTATTCCTTGGGGATCGCATCGGTGAACCCCAAATTGCGTGGGACTGGATCGAGCAGACTGCTCGAGTGTTGAAGGATCTCAACGTACCTATAGACAACTACCCTCGACTGTCTTCTCAACTGCTGCGCAATGAAGCCTACAAGTGGTGGAAGAGAACCGATGAGAGTACGGGAACCCCTAAGCCGTGGACTTGGGCACATTTCGAATGGGCATTCAAGCAAGAATATATTCCGAAACGTTTTAGTGAGGAAAAACGTAAGGAATTTGTGGAGCTGGAACAGGGAAACATGACACTCCCTGAATATCGTCAGAAGTTTACCAAGCTTGCAAAGTTTGCGCC